TCCAAACAAGAGGATAATTTTGGAATCAATTGAAAGAGGGAAACTTTCAAAGGAACAAATCATCGAAAAAATCGGAAATATTCAAAAACGTAGCGCGGTCACTATCACAATTGAGGGCGTTACAAAGGACTCGACCAGCGATTTTCCGGAAAACGACCCCCGAAATATTGGAAACCTCGAAGTGGAACAAGATACTAGAATCATAAGAAGCAGGGACCTTGAGTTGGAACAGGAAATCAATAAAATCAGCCTGCAACTTGCAAGCCTTTCTGATTCAACAAAGGACAAAAACATGGTAGAAGAAAAGCGGAATGAAATTAAGCGACAAATTGACGAACTTGAATGCAAAAAAGAAATGCTCACTCAAAAGCTCTCATACTACGATCCAAAGATTGCCGCTCAATTTAGAACATCCACACCAACCGGCCTCGCACAACCTATGGACGTAGAGGAAGATTTACACAGAAAAAGGAATGCATCAAGTTCAGAACTCAACAGGAGCTTCAGCGACTCAGACCTGACCCAAACTTCCAAAAAATGGAAGGACGGCAATATCATCAGCTGGATGAACAAAAATCCAAAGAAAACCGACAATGATGGGTTCACACTTGTGAGACACAGAAGGAAGAACTTGAATACAAACAGCAGTAACCCTAATAGTCAGCCTCAGAGCAGGGAATCAGGCATTTCAAACACTAAGATCCCAAAAAAACTCAAGACTGCACCACAGCAAGAAAGGAATCAAAATATCCCTCTTAATTCACAGGTCCCCAAGAGCACTGTCACTCCACCGGAAAATGAAAAGCATGCAACATCCAAAGAGGAAAGAAACCCTAAAGAAGACATTTGGAACGCGTTCAAAGATGAGCAAATTTGTACAAAACTCAACATGAAGAAGCAAGATTTCGTTCAAATTATTGAGTTCTATACAAGATTTCAGAATTCTGGAGCAACATCGAGCAAGGACATGGATCAGCATAGCATCAACAAGGAAATACAGGCTATAATGGATGACAACAAGAGGACATCCAAAAAAGTCGATGATACTCTTAGCCTCATTAAAGAAATCAATAAAACTTTAATGAAGAACACAAACATCCTTGAAAACAAGATGAACAAGGTAGACAAGACAGTCCAATCGCTGGAACTTCAACAAAAGAAAGAAGCCAAAACGGAGAAAGCCTCATATGCAAGTACTCTCGCTAAAATCGACCGCGCAAATCAAATCGCAGCAAAAAGCAAGAATAACTTTATTATGACTCTACACTCACCAAGGGAAATCCCCAAAACTCAAGAACTCCTCAATAAATTTGTAGAAATCTCCAGCACATTTATGAATACGAAAGTGATCAGAAATTCTATCCTCAGTGATAAAAAAAGCGTCAGGATCGAAGGAACAACGGATGACAGAGAATCACTTAGAGTCAGCTTGGAGAATGAACTCAAAAAATGGACTGCAGAGGAAAACATAACATCAGCCTTAAGTACGCAATCGGAAGTTATGAAAATTACGGGTCTCAGAAACACTGTATCAGATGAACAAATATACAGTCTTATACTAGACAATATGAACGACCCAAGCCTCACAAGGGAGAATCTCAATCAAAACGCTACCATCTTCAGAAAAGTGAACAGTTTCGTGGAAAAATCAAAAATGATCGTGTACATGAGAGTAAGGTCTCCTCTACTTGAGAAGATCACAAGGAAGAGAACATTCTATTCCAAATGCGAAAACTGGGGTACGATCTTGATCACACCAATTATCTACATTTCTCAATGTCCAAAATGTTTTGAATTTGGACACGGCCCATTAAAATGTCGGAAAGGAAACGTATGCAGAAAATGCGGCTCTACTGATCATCTAAGTGCGGAATGCAAAGAGAGCAAGAGAATATGTTTCATCTGTAAGCAAGATAAAAACAAAAAACATTTTGATCACGCCTGCACGGACAGAGAATGCCCGACCAGAGAAGAGATGTATCAGAGAGAGTTGTTTAGATGCTCCAGACAAGTAAACAGATCGATTTTCCAAGAGATGCAGAACCAAAGTGACACATCTACCTTGACGCAGAACTTACAATCAGATATCCATCATGAATAAGAAACCACCCAATTTTACAAAGAACTCTTTTCGGGTTTTACCCACAGAAGAAGAGGAAGAAGACGCGGATGAACCAGAATACGCATTCCCTCAGGAAGAGGACTCACAAGCGGCCTACCACCTGAATCGACTGTCCGAGATATTACCGAAAAACGCCATAGACAAAGAAGACACGGAGGACGAGACTCTATCTTCACCTTCTTTCCGCACTTTATATGATGATGAAGATAACTTTCTACCCTATGTATCCGACCATGGACCTCAACTCAGGAACCGAAAGAGAACTCGCAAGGAAAATATCGTTGACTATTTCGGAGAACTCGGTGAATCAGATGAGGACAGTAACTTATCAGATCAACTAACTGAAGAGATAAAATTCTTTATCAAAAACAACATTACAGGAACCCTAGAGCCTTATAAAACGCCTTCTAAAGAGTCGACCAGCAATAATGCCTACACCCCATCCGCCTTGGACACTATGAGAAGCACAACATCGGACAAAGAACTAGGATTCAAAGCTATCCTTAGTAATACTAAGAAAAGAATCAATAGCATGGACATCATCAACAATTTAGCTTCCATTAACAAAATAGGAATGATTCTCCTTACAGAACCAAACATGAAGAAAAGCATCAGAGAAAACTATTTTACATCAGAGGACAACAAAGTAGCTGTTAAAACTAATCGTCATCTGATTGGAGCACCAGACAGATGGGGCAAGGATAGAAATTTTTGCCACTTTAAATGGAAAAACCTTGCCATAATTTGCTGCTATCTTAATTCCAAAGACTCTAAACAAGAGCTTGAACTTTCTCTTCTGAAAATAGAACGAATCTTGAAAGAGAACATGGGGAAGACGATCATAGTCGGCGATTTCAATAGCAGATCGACCTCATGGGGCGACATTGAAACCAATGTCAGAGGCAAAATTGTCTATGATTGTATGGTCAGTAACAACCTCCAATGCCTTAACGACCCTGACAATTTTACTCCTACATTCATTGGACACCGGGGAGAATCTGTCATTGATCTGATCTTTGCTACTGAGGATGTCTTTAAGGATCTGAAAATAGAAGTCATGGACGACGAAGTCCTTAGCGACCATAAAGCGGTACTTATCACATACAGGGAGAATGAAGGAACGGCGAATTTTATTTCTAAACCTTTAGGCTGGTTCTTAAACCCTTCTAAATATAAAGATTTCAGCCGAGAAGTGAAGATAAGGACTGAAAAAGAAACCGATTCGCTAACACCAGAATCTTGCACCAAAATTATCTCTGAAAGTGCTGATGCAGTTTTTTCAAGAAAGGATTAAAATGCCTTTAAACCCGTCTACTGGTGGAATCAAAAAATTAAAAAACTAAATAAAGCCAATCAGAGAATTAGATCCAAAATTAGACATTTCCGGAGTCTCAAGAGACCCACCTCAATCCTACAAGTCAAACTCTCAGAAAACAGGAAATCAATTGAAAAAGAGATCATAGAATCAAAACGAAGTAAATGGAAAGAGATGATCCTAGACCTCGATAACGATATATGGGGTAAAGGCTATAAAATTGCGGCAAAGAAACTTAAAAGCCCAATATCTTTCGACACCAGTACGATATCCAATGAAGAGTCCATCGGAATCATCAAGGATCTATTTCCAGCTCATCCCGAACACGAGTGGACCAAGCCAGAGTTCAACACAGAAGATATTCCTTCAGTATCCAAGGAAGAAATCCTAAATTCACTGAAAAAACTCAAAGCGAACAAATCTCCGGGACCTGATGCAATACCTCAAATTCTAGTCAAGCTTTTTATTACGAATAACTTAAAGAAAGTAAGATCTATGGTAGATAATATGATAAAGAATTCAATGTTTCCAGCGGAATGGAAGAAGGCGAGACTTGTTCTTTTGGAGAAAACGAAGAAAAAACCAACAGACCCAAAGAAGTACCGTCCAATATGCATTCTGAACGCATTTTCCAAGATTTTGGAATATGTGTTGCAGGAAAGGCTACTGGAATCGGTCACACTCTCCGATAGACAATATGGGTTCCGCAAAGGTCGTTCTACAGTACAAGCAATGAAACGCGTTATAGAACTTTACGAAAATAACCGGAAAACCCCTTATAACAAGCGTAGCATGTTTTGCCTAATTGGCATCGACGTAAAGAACGCTTTTAATAGCCTCCGCTGGACCGACATCATTTCAGAACTGGAAAAACAACATGTGCCCAAATACCTGATTTCTATCATGCAGAGTTACCTGAAGGGGGGATACGTCGAATCTGGCGACCTGATCTTTAAAGTGACCGCCGGCAGCTTCCAGGGTAGTATCATTGGCCCTNGTTATAGAACTTTACGAAAATAACCGGAAAACCCCTTATAACAAGCGTAGCATGCTCTGCCTAATTGGCATCGACGTAAAGAACGCTTTTAATAGCCTCCGCTGGACCGACATCATTTCAGAACTGGAAAAACAACATGTGCCCAAATACCTGATTTCATCATGCAGAGTTACCTGAAGGAGAGATACGTCGAATCTGGCGACCTGATCTTTAAAGTGACCGCCGGCAGCTTCCAGGGTAGTATCATTGGCCCTCTTCTTTGGAACATTATGTACGATCCTATAATTAAAAGTAAAACTGATCCTCATGCTGAAAAAATTGCATACGCGGATGACATGCTTATCGTATTGATCACAAAAAATAAGCAAACCCTTCTCCACGACAGTAACAGGATAACAGCACAAACAAACAAGCAGTTAAAGAAAAGAGATCTCAAAATGGAACGCAGCAAGACCGAGTCACTCATCTTGGAGGGCAAGAAGAAAGATCGGGTAGAAGCGCAGATATCAGTAGACGGTCAGATCTTAGAGGTGGGGACATCGCTCAGATACCTCTTGGCTTCTTTCTAGACAAGGGTCTGAGCATGTCCCACCACCTCAAGACAGTGTGCGAAAAGGCGAAGAAAGTGACTAATCACTTTCGCTGGATAATGCCAAACATTGATGGGCCCTCTTTTTTGAAGAGAAGACTAATCGTATACGCCATACTTTCCATCTTATGGTATGGGGTAGAGATATGGTCTGCAAGCTGCAACAAGAAAAAGAATATCAAACTAATTACAACAACCATCAGGCCGCTCAAAAGAGGGTTATGCTGCGCATACAGGACGGTGAGCAACTCAGTTCTGGATATTTTAACGGACATCCCCCCAACGGACTTGCTGATTGAACGAAAACTCCGCCAAATTAAAAAAGAAGAGGATAAATTGGAAATCGAGGTAGACATTAACAGGAGATGGAATACTCGTTGGACATGTACTGGAAATCAAGATGATCGCTGGCTGCATAGACTCCTTCCTTCATTGCAAATCTGGATGGAGAGGACCCATGGAGAAGCAGATTTCTTCTTATCGCAGTTCATGTCGGGTCACGGTTCTTTTAATAGCTACCTTAATAGATTTAAATTAACTCCCTCCCCCTTATGTGCCCTATGCCTGTCTGCCGAGGATACACTGAAAAAAATGAGTCCGGCGTTGGAACCGAGTCAGTCCGGGATCACCATTCCCGTGAAAGTCGTGCCTTATCGCCGAAAAACTCGGTAACTTCACCCGAGCTTCACGGGGTGTGAGGCCGATTCGATCCCGGACCAAATTACCATAACGTCCGGGCCATCCGATCCCGGGCGGCCCGGGAACTTCCGCCGTGCTACTCGGGGACAGACTCCGAGGAGCCCGGAAACCTGGGTTTTTCCATCGGGCCTCGGCCCGCCTGTTGGCTTGGCAGGTATAGCACGATCCTCCTAGTCAATGGGGATGCACACGTGTTGGAACAGGCCGGGTCGAGTTCCTCGAATTCGCATCCCTTCGCACGGAGCGGCACGGCTCTTTCAAAAGAGAAAGTGTCAAGGTTGCCAGACTGTGCTAAAAATCAGCTCACTCTACCTTGAAAGGTACTGATTTTTAGGAGATTTTGGTGACTAAAGGCAGGCCTCGTCCGCGCAAAGGAATTTTCCGCCTTTCCATGCCGTCTACAGCTCCCTGCCCCAGCCCCTCCCCTCTTTCTCCTCTGTCTCCTGATGTTACTACCCCTAAGCATTCCCACGACATCCTGACTCTTGACTTCAGTGTCATATTCGTGCCTTTTCGGAGATCTACAACCGCCTGGAGAACTTTTCATAGTGCAGTGCTAATTGCAGATTTTCAGTGAACATCATTACTGACTAATTCGCTGTTTCTGTCGGTGCCTTTTTTCATTACATTCTGTTTACATGCTTTAATCCGACGCGGGGTGATTTATGGAAGTGCGTGAATTGTGTGTATAGCATCGCGTCTCCGATTTGAGAATGTTTAGGATCACGGAAATTCTATCTCAACACGGATGGATGGACCTTCTACCGGAGTTAGAACGTAAGTTATTCAAGTGAACTTTCTCATAAATCGTTTAGTTCTGCCATTAAATTTTTGAGAGTGATTTCCCTAATTTCAGGTAAAACAAGTATTTCGTCATTTTCTTGGGGAAAATTACGCTAAATCTAAATATGGTGGATGTTTTTTTTTATTATTGCCATATTGTCATACAAATTTCATGGCCAATTTGGTAGGTAACTTATTCTATTGTTTTGAGTCCTTAAACACCCTAAATGTCAGACCCTAACGTTTTATGAGTGCCTATCCTCGCACTTTCGACTACCGAAACCTCGAAACTGTGTAAAACTTGTTATGAGAATGATATTAATATTCTGTCACTCTGATATTAATATTCTGTCACTCTTCAATTTTCAATTTTTTAATTACTGTACCTACATATTTACCCACTTGGTCATCGTCAAAAAGTCGCATTCAGCATCACAGCAACACAGTATGCACTGTTACATACTTTCCCGACCGTAATACATATTTTTTTCTCTTTTTTTCTGCCTTAAAAACAGCAGGAAACAGGGCAAATCGCTTTCAGCCTGTTTTTACTTTACCTACATTTACATACGTGAAGTAATAGGTTGTTGAAAGTTGTGTTTTCATTGCTCCGGCTTAAATTTACAAAAAAAAGAAGAGACAAAGAAGAATTAGAGTAGAGAATGTACATCTGGCCTGGTCAAGATCGTAATCGTAACGTAGCATAATTTTTCAATAAATGACGTCAAAAATGAGTCTCTGTATCATCTTAACGCTCTTTGAGTGCGCAATTCATTTTACAACATGAAGAGATGGGAGATTTCACTCGGGAAAGATACTAGCAATGAGCATGTTCCCACCAAAAAAGTCACCGTCAGCTGGGACGGGCTGGGTTGCTGGTATGGGGGTTGCCATGGCCTTTGTCGGGGGAAAAAAATTTCTCCGAAGAAAGTTGGGTTTTTGCTGTGCTTTTGAATTCCCTATAATTTTTATTGAGAAAAATGAAATAGAATCTTAAAAGCTAAAAAAGTGAGTGAAACTATTTATCTATCACGAAAGTTATCCTGCAGTTCATAAATGCTGAAGTTTGACTCATTTCTACCGCAGAAATGTTTATTTTTTATGCTTTCCTCGATGGTTGAAAAATGACTGATCGCAACCTGAAAACCTCTCTAAGGTGATTCGATGTACGCCATATTTTGTGTCAGAACGGCATGCGATAAATCGCATCAATTGGTTCCATTTTTTCAGCTACTCGTCATTTTTCTCCAATTTTGAAATCGCAATTCTGTTGTCAGGAGTCTAAAGCACTCACTTACCAATTTTAACAAAGAAATTCAACGTAAGAAAGGCGTGATTTTTTCAGAGAGAAAATATCGCATTCGAGCGCAGTTTTGATATCAGTATCGAATGCGATATTTTCTCTCTAAAAAAACCACGCCTTTATTACGTTGAATTTCTTTGTTAAAATTGGTAAGTGAGTGCTTTAGACTCCTGACAACAGAATTGCGATTTCAAAATTGGAGAAAAATGACGAGTGTAGCTGAAAAAATGGAACCAATTGATGCGATTTATCGCATGCCGTTCGGACACAAAATATGGCGTCCATCGAATCACCTTAAGTCTTCAATGTTAGGCAATGCCGCGGCGTTGTGCATGAAAATTAGGAAAACTTTTATTTCCCCTGTACCTTCATGGGACATATTTATACTAAAATGAACTGTGTGAAAATGAATAAAATCAAAAGGAACTCTTTAAATAGCACGGAAATCCTATGCGCACAAAGTTCCTTTTAATTTTATTCATTTTCACATAGTTCCTTACAGCATAAATACGCCCCATTTGCATAAAGAGTGAAAAATACTAATAAATATCAATTAGCTAACGGTTTAAACTTCATATGCAAACTTTGATCCAAAGCGATACCAGGATGAGAGCCAGCGCGGCGCCGTACCATGGTTGCTATTCGACGGTCGAACTTTTAAACCACGTACCTCGTTTGCAGTGTTAAAAAATCTCCGCTTCTGTTTTATTTTTTTAAGGGAGAATAGGTCAACGTCTTTTTGTGAGGTCTTTTCAGGATTTTCTTTACACAGAGAAGAAAAATCACGGAAGTTTTTAAAAATGCAAAATGACGTTGAATAGTTCTCCATTAAAAAAATTAAGAAAGACAGGAAGTCTGCAACGTCTGAGGCCGAGAAACGTGGTTTGGGAGTTTCCTTGTTACGACAAGGAAACTCCCAAACCACGTGAGAGAAAAACGTGAGAAATACGTTGGAGGTTTGCTGAGGTTGATTCTATGAGGGTGCAGGTATCCTAACAAATTCCTCTGTCGTATGTATAAAATCATAAAAAATTGCATGACCAGGCAAGCAACCGCAGCGCGGCGTTTGCATTCTAAAACCAAAGGTTACGAAGATTCAATAAATTCATGATTTCGGATTTATTTTAATTGCTGATTTACCTGACATCCGTGGAACTGTCTTTAAACATTTCAGAGGAACTTCAAGCAGCAATTTCAATTATTAATTAATGGTGCATCGCATCATCATGTGACTTTTTTTCAATCTATTTTGCATTTCTACCAACTGTTGTAGAGAATTTTATTTTAAAATTTCTGTAGATTTTTTTAAAATGTAGAGGAAATTATTCGGTGAACAGTGTTTGAGCCTCATTTTGTCAAAAATAGAAAAAACAATACCATCTATGACTCCTTTTTACAAACAGCCATCTGTATATGGATAGGTACTAGTGGCACATACGTTGTCTTTTCAATGAGTTAGAAATGTTAGTTCCTAATTTAAAAATGTATTTCACTTAGCTAAGCCTACTGCCTGGATGAAAGGAAGCTGTGTAGGTATCAGCGGTAAAATTAGAATCAGAAACGCGTAATTCAGTTTGCGATGTTGCAGATTTTAGGTCATATCGGCTTTATTTTCTAAATGGTGGACTATGTAACACTATCTCTCGAAAAATTCTTTGATTTTGATTTTCTGTCTTGAATATAGTACATCTGTGAAAATTTTAAGGGTTGAACAAGACTCGTTCTTCTCCAAATAGGTAAATAAAATGTGACCAGAAACTTTGAAATACCGCAGTAGAGATACGTATTTCTACTGTTTCACTGTTCTGACATGATGACCCTTATTCTGCCATGCTAAGGAAGAACGCCGTATGAGCCTTCAGACGTTGCCAAGTTTCCTCCGATAAAATACTAATTTACTAGGAAAAGTGCGAATATTATTTTCCAAAATTTTCAGACATTTTTTTACGCAATTTAGTCGAAAATGTCTGAAAATTTCGAGGATAAATATGCATGAATGTTGGCTAAAATATATATTTTATCAAGGGAAATTTGGCAACTCTCAAATGTTCATACGGCGTTCTTCCATTGCACGGCAGTATTCGTGTGCGTCAGAATACTGCCAAACTAAGGAATCGAAGGTTGCCACATTTTCTCTCATAAAACTTTTATTTTCGAGAATAAATAGTTTCTCCTAAAATTTTCATAAAATTTAGATCATATCGCGAAGAAAATTCACTGAAAAATTAAAAGAAATACATTTTTATGCAGATCTCCCTGAAAATTAATATTTTATCAAAGGAAATTTGGCAACGTATAAAAGCTGATACTGCGTTCTTCCTTAGCACGGCAGAATACCCAATATACCAAGAATGCCATTACTTTCTCTAGCAATTGTTGAAGTTCAGGAATAGTAGCAACAATTCTCGCTAGATTAGTTGACTAGCTTTTAAAGTAGGACAAAAAAGATTTTCAATCTTGATCCTTGCTTTCGCTTCAATGCAAAAATGAGAGATGAAACATCCTCCGCCACACACTAAAAGTCGGTCGTCTGTACCTCCTTACTAACCACCAGACCAGATAAGTATCTTGCAATCGCAAGTTCAAGTTATTCGACGTCATCTCCTTTTGAAATTAATCGAAACTAGCTGCTTCAGCTCGCTACGCTCGCTTGCGCCGCTAGCCGGGGGCAAGCCCCCTGGACCCTCAGTTGCTCGCTCTGCAAGTAACTGTTGGCTCGCTTCGCGAGCCAAATTTTGCTACTACCAGTGCTTAGAGGACTTCTTGGAGGCAAAATGATAAATTCAAAAACAAAGAATAGGAAACTAAAAATTACCTACTTTTAGAAAAAGAAACAACCTTGAAAAATAAATAACACTCCTGGAAAAGAAAATCAGAACACTTTTTGAAAATGTAACGGTGCGAAAGGGTGAAGATAAATCACCAATTCTCTTGGAAGAAGACATGAGCCGACCCCCGACATGAGTGAAACTGCCGTAGGACCCATGCTAGGGTAGCAGGGTGACACGTGTTGTGAGCAGGTAGGGATGGGTTTACGTGGAGAGGGAAACGGAAAATCAGAGGGTGGGAGGTCCCCCAACCATATGACTCGTCCAGCGTCAAAAACGCAAATATGTCGTTATCAAATCGAGGTAAATTTTGCAACTTCGGTCGCGCAAATCGAAAAACGAAGGGGTCTTGGCACATCTAGACCCTATGAGCTTTCATTTAAAACAAATCCGAGGAAAATTGGTCCAGTAGTTTCCGAGATCGAATTAGCACAAACTGTCCAGCGTCAAAAATGCAAATATGTCGTTATCAAATCGAGGTAAATTTTGCAACGTCGGTCGCGCAAATCGAAAAACCAAGGGATGTTGGCACGTCTACAGCGTAAGAGCTTCCATTTAAAACAAATCGGAGGAAAATCGGTCCAGTAGTTTCTGAGATCGAATTAGCACAAACTGTTGGAGGCCAAAAAAGGCCTTAGGATATTAAATATATAGATCATTTTCTTAGAAACTGAGTTTTTCTGGTACACATACTGGCTCAAGTCCTATAATTTAGGTTTATTGAGAGGGCTTGTGCCACGGTACCTACCTCTATCACTTACGATATCTCTCGGTTACTTTCTCGATTAATGAATAAGGTTTTTTTTCTCTCTTTTACCATATTTCAGGCAACCGTGTGAATGACTCATTGCTGAAAATACTATCAGAGGAGGAAATCAAAAACATTTTGCCTCTCGGCCCAGCCCAACTTTTTATTAAAGCCTTTAAGCATGTAAGTAGTTTGATCAAATGGGATTTGAAGCGATACAATTTCATTAACATCTTTTACAACTATATTTTCAGGGCTGTTAAAAGTGATCGCACTTGTATTGTATTTACGCATACCTACACTAGTTTTGGTGGCAAGATTTTCTAGATAACTATAGACCTTTTACAGTCAAATGTAGAACAACTCAATTACCTAGGTAGTCGTGAAGCACAGTAACATACCTAAGAGCTTAGTCCGGAAAAAGGCTGCTGCGAAATACATGTAAAGATCAAGTAAAAAAGGGGACGTTTAAAGTTAGTTACAGACTTATTTTAAACCGAACAGAGGAGAGAGAAAATGAACCGATGACTATTTGTTGCTCTCTTCCTTTCGGTTTAAAATGAAGTATTAACTATACCTCAAAATGTCCCAGTTTTTTGTGTTAGATATTTTATATATTATGCAGCTGCCTTTTCCGCATTGAATTCTTTTGGCCTTCTTAAGCTTCTTTAAGCTTCTTATTGATTCTTGATCCTTGGCAATGTGTATAATGAATGCATTTTTCTTTTCCCTTAAATTCAATTAAAGCGAGAAAAGTTATTTTTTAAAAAAATATGCAAGGTAATACAATATTATCTCTCCTGATTACTCACACATTCTTGATGCACAAAAGCAGGTAGACAGATAGGCAGGCATATCTCAAGCAATCCGACAGGTCTAAGTGTAAAGCTACGTATCTCCGTTTGCAACTGTGCGGACTTCCTGTTTTATGTATTTTCTCTTCGGAAAAGTAGTTAATGTAATTTCTTAAAAACTTCCTTGATTTTTCTTCTCTGTAAGCAGAATGTTCTGGGTAGGTTTCAGGATAATTAATTGGATTTTTTCTCTTAAAAAATTGAAATAAAGGTAATATCTTGAAGATCGCAATGGAGATACGTGGTGTCGCACTTTGGCCATCGATTCAATCGCATTAATTTTAAACGAAATACTCATACATCCCCAATTTTTATGTTCTTAGAGTTTATTTTTCATCTCTACTTCCTAATTTTTTTATCTTCCAACACACCAAAATTATTGATCTCTTGTGAAATTAATCAATAACTAATGATCAGTGAGGCAGTGCTAGACGCCGCAGCTTGATCTTTCGGTGTATTTCACGCATGGTGCTGAACAATAATCAGTGATTGGTCCTCCTAAATAATGCCGAGTCTTCACATCTCACGTAGTAAAACAATCTCTCCTCCTTACCCCTTTTCCCTCCAAACTGTCTAACCATCATGTACCTATTTCCTCTCTTTAATGACCTAAACTGAGTGAAAAATGGACTTTTGCAGGATCACAATCTAACTTCGCTTGATATCCAAGAGGCAAACAAGACTATGACCAGTATGAGTGAGACAAGTTCAATTTTAAGAGAATCAATGGCCGAAGTATATAATCTCACAAATGGTGATATGCAAGGATGTGATAAGCTTTCGGAATCAAGAATCGAAGCTATGCTCCGAGATGACAATGACGAACTCAACAGCAATACATCGTCTCATTCCTCTCCTCTCTCTACTGCACTCCCACGCCAATCCTCAGAAACGCCTGGAAGTTTCCAGTTTTCTCCTCCAGCTAACCCAAGTAGCTCTCGAGATCTCAGTAGGAAACGTGCCAATAAAGAAAATTTTATCCCCTCACGCATATTCTCAACTCCTGATTCAAATACGGTCCCAGAAAGTTTGAACCTTTCTGCTGGTATCTCTCCAGTAAATGAAATAACTCAGCCCCCACTAAAAGTTAAAAAAGTTGTCGTAAATTTTGCATCCGTCTCCACAGAAAATACAATTAACTCTTCTGATCAGCTGCCAAGCGTTAATAAAAGTCCCCGAAAACAATCCACTCCACGAAAATTAGACTTCAATGTAGCAAATGCACTGCAGATCAGCCAGCCTAGCACTTCCAGAGCATCAGAAATAGTCGCTAGGAATGTTTGCGATAATGGTTCTTCAGGCGTGCAAGATGATCTAATAGCAAAGAATAATAATAATGTTCAAAATTTTAGTAATCCTGAGATAAGTGATGAGTCAACAGGAAATGTTCCTGTAAATGTTAGTTCAAATAATAATATAGAAACCAATAGAAATGTTGAGTCCCATGTAAATGTCGAGTCCCATGAAAATGTCGAGTCCCATGAAAATTTAAAGTCCCATGAAAATTTAGAGTCCAATAAAAATGTAGAATCCGATAAAACAGCTGAGAATACAAACAAGTCAAATAGTAAAGCTCATATTGTTATAACTAATGGAGAAAAGTTAAGAGAAGTTCTATTAAAGACCACCAAAGGCGCACAGGTCCTCGCATTTTTTGAAAAAGAGCTGTCATTGTCCGACTCAGACTCCAAAAAAGTATGCGACATTATAATTGACCACGTGCTCCATGATCAGCCCAAAGCAACGATCACCAGAGGAGAATGGGATATGCTGAGTGATGCCGTAGTTCAGTTATTTCCTACTGAGGTTAAGGAGACCTATTATGTTCCTCCCACATCAGGTTCGGCAGGAGAAAAGTGCTCAGCCAGAGGGAGACTGATCAATAAGTACGAGGCGTTCAGGAAGTACCTCATCCGCACTGGAGCAATGAGCTCCCAGAGATCGAAAAAGGCGCCTCAAAAAGTGATAGGTATTAAAATCAACCTTAATTCTGACATTGCCGTAAAAAGGAATGATCTTGAATGCACGTCTCGTGATCTTGAATCTGACTGCAACGTTTAAAAACCCTCTTCTTTCATTTCATATTTTTGGGAGAAAATGAATCAACTTCAATGCTTGAAAGTTCCTGATGTAGAAATGGATGTAGTTCTTATGAAGAAATTTTTAGCCTAATTTTTTTAAAATAAAAAATAAACAATACAAGATAGGAAATTTTTAATGGTGCTGCTGACCAATTTTAATCCTTTTCTGATGCACCTTGAATAAGGAAAATGGTGGGTTAGTTACTATTACAAATTGTATTTGAGCTTGATTGTGTGTGATTTATTTCCGGTCAACAATATTTTGGACAAAATTTTCCTCTTTTCAGATACAAATGTGCAAAAAGCTTTAGATTGGCTCAAAAAGAACGTCGAGCCTGCTGTATTAGCCATTGAGTACTGGACAGTGACAGCTCAAGAGAGATTGACTGAACTGATAGTTTTAAAATCAATTGCAACGCAAGAGTACCTGGTTTTGTACCCACCACTAAAAAATCCTGCCATCGGTATCCAGCTGGTAAGTGTTTTTTTCTTTTTTTTTAAAAAAAAGGCTCCTAAACTTGTCTACCAACTTCATATGAAAATAATTTCCTAGGGTAGATTTTTTCTTTAACTCATCACCCTTGAATTCCAAAAGTTATTGTTTGAAATTTTTGTATTTTTTTAAAAAAAAAAAAAAAAATTGAAAGATTGATAATTTAATTTTTTAGAAAATTTGTCTCGATTGTTTTCATGCAAGTAATCGAATGGTTTTAAAAATTGGATAGAAAAATCCTCTCTATTCTAATAAAACATTTTTAAGACGCTCGATGGACGGAATGAGGAAGGGGAGTAAGAAGCGGCCTTTGGAGGATGGGCCGCGTATCGGCCAGGGGACGGAGCCCCGTCTCCTAGTTTTTAAATTAATTTCAATGAGTTTTATCAGCTACGTTGATGCTCCTCAATGAAGTAGGTACTCGATTGCCGTGACAGCGAAGAGAGCAGTGAGTGCATTTCTGTATGAACTATGATTAGCACATGCTGTATGTATCTCAAGGTTCATCCTATGCATTTACTGCTCTCTTCGCTATTACGGCAGTATTGAGAAGTGATATGCATACCTCATTATATTATGAGTTTTCATGTCTTTTTTCTCAATTGTCGCCTTTCATTCAGATACGTGTACTGTTTCAGATTGGATGACTCTCTTTAAATTTGTTATGCCAAATAGCAGTGATCGTGATAAATAGTGATTTTATCGGTTGGTTATCGCGATTATATCAGTGACAATAAAGTGAGAAAGGTACTATCGCATTAGAAATTGCGATATATGGCGATTAAATCGCTACATATCGCAATTTCTAGTTCGATAAAAGCGTGATTAATTTTCGTCGATAAAATCGAGATTAAATCGCCATTTTTTCTTTTAAGATCGAGGATAATCGCTTAGATGTTGATGATCCGAGTGATTATATCGGCGATAAAATCGCAATGTATACATGACAATTTTCCCGTTGAGCAATGCTACTTGAGATAATCTTTGGTCTTTGATATCTATTGACTTTGACATTTTCTACACTTTACTTTTTGATTTGTAATAAAGATTAAATAAGTCCGTGCATGTTTCATAAAAATTGACATGTTTTTTTTCTTGCGCTTGTTCAAGGTTTCCACTGATTTCAATCACTTGTACGCCACCAAGGCAAACGTATTCTTGAACGACTGGAGCCCCATTGCTCAAAAAATTTTGGATTTGCTCCGACTAAAGAGAGGCAGTAGATGGCAAGAAAACATAGCGTTAGCAGGAATAAATATTTATGCAACAGGTACTTTAAATTTAGTAATTTTTATAGTGCTAAGCAAGTATTAAAGTTTAGGTATATATAAATTTTCTCGGTAAAAATAAGACTCTTTGTTTTTCTCCTTAAATGAAATGGATGACAAAAAAACGTAAGCGACTTTCAGTTTTTTTTCGAAAATAGCTTAAGTGACGTCTTCGTTTTGAAATGGCGTGTCATCCTGAGGTACCAGTGCTTCGTCAAAAAGCAGGCCATTAGTAAACTCTAAGTCATTTTACTAAACTGACTGATTGTACCGCTATTTTGAAACGATGCAAGGCCCCGATTGTCCGATGACTGTTTCTGACCACTATACTTATTTTCCTCAAAAAGGACATATGTGAGCTACGGTTTCATTTCAGGAATGGCTTAAGGAACATGTTATTTTAAAATGACATGAGCCCATCTAGCATTTGTTCCCATATTCATCTTTATTATTGCCAACAAGGACGGAAAGCGTCTCATATTTTATTGCGGAAATGGCTTAAGAGACATACGCTTTTTGAAACAATAAGTGAGAAATCTCACGTTATTTTGCTTCTTAATCTTAGTTTTCATAGATGTAAGAGACGTAAGGGACTTTCAGCTTTTCCCCTAAAATGACTTTAGAGGCGTATTTGTGTTTACACGACGTGAGTTATTCTGAGTTGCAGTATCCTCATTTATTTTCGTCAAAGACGCGCTTTTCCGAAATCACGTAATTCATCCTCTGTTTTGATTTGTATTAGGAGGCAGTCACGTAGTCCTAGGTAAAATTTTATACAGGGTGGGCCAGAAGTTCCAGGACGGTCGGCTAACTTTTGAACGGTTCGAGATAGAAAAATGAAACTTTGGGAATGTTCCTATCTCAAAGGGGACCATCTTTTAGGGGAGTCAAAATTTTGGTCCCCCCTAAGGGAGGGGGCGGGGGCCCCCAACTTTTTTTTTTCAAATGGCAACCCCTATCTTGTGATACTTCATTCGAAAGACCATAAAAAACTAAGAATTTTGGCGCAAACCGCAGATCAATATCTTAATTTTTGACCGAGTTATGATAGGATCAAAGGTCAAATTTGACCTATTTTCAAAAAATCACAACTCCGGTTCAAATTATCTTAAAGAAAAAAATAAAACGGGAAAATTTACCAATTGTGTTCGCTTTTTTGTAAAAATTGCAGAAATCACTTCGAACTAATTTTAAGGGGGGATTCGGACCCCTAAATACGTCAATTCAAAGGTCATTCAATTTTCCCGCGAAATAAGCCAATTTCCCCTAGATTTGCCTCCACATTATCTCAGTAAGGTCAAAATCAGTTCAACATTACGTTGGGCAAGTCCCCAAATTTCAGGAAAAGTTAAAAAAAACGCAATTTAAGGTAATTAAATTTGACCGTTTAAATTGGTTTTTTTTAACTTTTCCTGAAATTTGGGGACTTGCCCAACGTAATATTGAACTGATTTTGACCTTACTGAGATAATGTGGAGGCAAATCTAGGGCAAATTGGCTTATTTCACGGGAAAATTGAATGACCTTTGAATTGACGTATTTAGGAGTCCGAATCCCCCCTTAAAATTATTTCGAAGTGATTTCTGCAATTTTTACTTAAAAGCGGACACAGTTTTGTAAATTTTCCCGTTTTATTTTTTTCTTTACGATAATTTGAACCGGAGTTAAGATTTTTTTGAAAATAGGTCAAATTTGACCTTTGATCCTATCCTATCATAACTCGGTCAAAAATTAAGATATTGATCTGCGGTTTGCGCCAAAATTCTTAGTTTTTTATGGTCTTTCGAATGAAGTATCACAAGATAGGGATTGCCATTTGAAAAAAAAAGTTGGGGGCCCCCGCCCCCTCCCTTAGGGGGGACCAAAATTTTGACTCCCCCAAAAGATGGTCCCCTTTGAGATAGGAACATTCCCAAAGTTTCATTTTTCTATCTCGAACCGTTCAAAAGTTAGCCGACCGTCCTGGAACTTCTGGCCCACCCTGTATTATCGGCTCAACCATGGTTGGCTGCAACTTTTTTTCTTTGTTTTTTTTGGGGGTAAAAGTATAGGTGTATTGTGTGTGTTAGGGTGGGAAGGGAGGATGAGGGTGTGTATGATGTGTGTCGACCAAGATTTTTTAAATTTGTTTAAAAAAAACACCCAGATTCCCAAGAGTTTGCACATAAGCTTGTAATACGTATCTTTTCGTTTTTCAGACCCTGAAGAAATAAAGCTATCTGCTCTGCTTTTGCTGCCCTATTTTTTCCCAACACCTGGCGATGTAAACTTCAGCAGGAATAAAAATCTCTCGTGGGTTCCATCAAAACTAGAATGTGCCAAAGGTTTTATTCTCATCACACCTACACTAACCTTACTTGAAGTAGAAATCAAGAAGCGACAAACGTTCTTTCAAAGTAAGAAATTGGTACTTCCACCATTTGTAGTACTGGTCGGACGCGTAGGTAATTTTGAAGAATCAATTGTTGTCATTGATAGCATAAAATATTACTTTGATTCCCCAATTTCTGCCTTTGACTGGTGTTTTAAAGCACATTTTGCACTATATTACTCTTACTCTCCTGAGACTCGTGCTCCTTATACTTTTATACAAAAGTATGTTTATAAAATTAATACAAAACGTGACAGGAATTACATTCAAGTAACCTCTTTAGCCAAGCAGCTTAATCTTTCCTCCGTTTAATTTTGTCTCAATTCCAGCCCAGCCAGCCCAGCCCCAGCTTTGTACCCTCCAGCTTCTTTTCAATGTTAAATCATGCCTTCGTGCCCTGATTGTAAACAAAATTTCGAACCCATCAACTCTCTGATAAATCATATCAAACAGTTCCATTTTAGATCTGCTTATGCCGATCCAATAAATTGTGGGGACTGCGGGAAACCATTCTCTGCATATCCTAATCTTCGTAAGCATCTTAAAACCTGTCGCATGAAGGTACAACTTGAAGACCCTAACCCTTTGCTAAGTGACGCTGTGCATAATGCTACCGTGGACGTAGTTGAATCTCAGCCAATTGTCGAAAATAATCAGTTTAACGCACAAAATGTTAGAGTTTCAAGAATAGGAGATAGTTCCAAAGGCACAACTGCTGATCCTATTCAAATGCTGAATAAAGAGTGTGCAAACTTCATTGCATACTTATATTCTCATGTGTCTTTGCAAAGAAAAATGATACAAACGGTAGTTGAAGGTGTTTCAGAAATTTTTAGCGCTGTAAGAGACATTTTAGTAGAAAAACTGGAAGAACACTTGACTGATCAATCAATGACAGATTTAATGCCTTTTTTGTCCGAATTATGTGATCCATTTGCCTCTTTAAAGACAGACTTTCTTAGATTACAACACTTTGAAAATTTAGGCACGTATATAAAACCTCAAGAAATTGAGCTTGGAGAACGATCAGTACGGAAAAAAATTAAAAATAAAGTGCGAGTCACATCTATACCCGTGAAAGCTCAGTATATTTCACCGAAAGTATTCTTTAAGAAATTTTTTGATCAGTCGGATGTTCTCCAGAAAACACTTGATTTTGAGGGCAGAATGCTGGCAGAAAATTCTGTTTTGTCAAATTTTCTACAAGGTAAACAGTGGCAAGAGTTTTTAAAAGCTGATAAAAATAAAGGGAAAAAATTTCTTCCTTTCTTCCTCTATATGGATGAATTGGAAACAGGAAACGCTCTAGGGTCACATTCAGGAGTTCACAAGTTGGGGTGTGTTTACATATATATGCCATGCATTCCACCAGAATTTCGTTCCACTTTAAAATGTATCTTTTTATGTATGTTATTCCATGCTAACGACAGAAAGCAGTTTGGAAATGAAAAGTTGTTCAAAAACTTAATTGAGGATTTTAACAGTTTATCAAAAGAGGGTCTCTTTTTTGAAAATGAAGCTTACTCCGGGAAAATTTACTTCCAGCTTGCCATGCTTACAGGGGACAATTTGGGCATTCACCAAATAACCGGGTTTACAGAGTCATTTTCTGCAAATCACCCATGCTCAGTTTGTTCAATTCATAAAAAAGATTTACATTTGCAAACTATTGAAGATGAAAAACTAATTAGAACGAGAGAATCCTACGACAAAGATCTCCAAAAAAATGATTTATCAGAAACTGGTATTAGGGAAAAATGCATTTGGCATGAAGTAGACGGTTTTTGCATTACTACTTCCCTAGGTTCGGACTGGATGCACGATATTTTGTTAGGTACGGCTCATTACGATTTCGCTGCTATACTCTATAACTTGATTTACGTCGAAAAGTACTTTGATGTTCAGGATTTCAACTTAATTTTACAGAACTTTAAATACGGCCCGGATGAAAATAAACCTCCCCCTCAACTCGAAAAAAATTTGCATGATAAAAAAGGTCTTCGAATGACAGCAGCCGAAACATTAACACTTATTAAATATTTTGGTGTTATGGTTTCTAGTTTTATAAAGGACCCAAATAATGAAACTTGGCAACTTTATTTATCTTTAAGAGCGATTGTTTCTTTACTAATGTCTCCCTCCGTGCAAAAAGGTTGTGCAGAGTTACTGAAAAGTTATGTAAAAAGTCATAACGATTTATACATGAAATGCTCTAACCAGTTGCTAAAAAATAAGTTTCATCATTTAGTACATTATCCCAGGTTCCTTATTTTGTTTGCCAATATGTGTGATCTGTATGTTATGCGCCAAGAAGGCAAACATCAAGTCACGAAATTTATTACTTCCTCTGTCCGTACGCGCAAAAACATTTGTAAAACTGGAGCCATCAGGCATCAATTGCTATTTAGCTGGCTTTTGATGTCGAACAGTTTTTTTTCCGAGAACTTAGAGTTTGGTGCAGGTAAAATTTTTAGGATTGAGCAATACATAAATTATAATACCCTGAATGTACCCAATGAGAAAAAAATTTTCCTGAATGTCCAGTATTCAAAAATTTTTGGCACCAAGTATAGGCGTAACGATGTTGTTTATTATGATTTTAAAGAAACTCGTCCAAAATTTGCTTTGATCGAGAAAATTCTCATTTTTAACCAAACTTCTGTGCATTTTATTGCCAAAAAATTGAGAACGGCTTATTACGATGATCACTCTGCTGCTTTTTGTGTTGAGAAAAAAAAATCAGAAATATTCTTAAATCAATGTGATTTAATTATGCCCAAACCTCTACCACTCCTCACCGGTAATGATGGTCTAACTTATGTTGCAAGTTTTGGAATTCTTGAGTAAAATCTTTAATTCATAACCACAGATGATTTTCTCTTTGACTAGTCCTGTGTTTTATGCAAGTTAAAGTTTTATTATGACTTCATTTCTAAGTCATGAGATTTTTGTAAATTCTGATTGTGAAAAATGTTCAATTTATTTAAGTTTTTCTAATTATTCTGCATATTATTTCAATTTAATCTAATCAAGTATCGATAATACATTTTTTTCCACAAAATAGTTTGTTATTTACTTTTGTTGTAAACCCTATGTTTTTCTCCTCTATTTTTCATCATATTAAACATGATGAAGAATTTCCAAATGAAAGAAGATACGGTTACTCAGGATCAATGACTTTCAGACATTCATTTGCATTGAAACATGATTAACTTCGAAGTATTTTCCTGTTTTTCTATAAAAAGAACGAAAATCAGCATTATTTATTGAACTGTTCATCGATTTTCTTCCTTGTCTATAGAAAACTTGCCAATTATTTCAATAATTAATGTTTTTTTCTCTCACTTTGAAAAAATGCAATTATGCATCGTTGTAATGTAACTTTCTGTCATTTATCTCAAGTCATTACAACTTGCCTAAAAAGTGATACTATTTTCACAAATTTTTCTCAGTTGCGAAAAAAATTGAAAATAGATTATTAATCTCTCCAACATAAAATACATGTTGTATTAATTTCATCAGACAACCCACCAGTTTTACGAATGCTAAAGGTTCGAGTTTTTCTGTTTCAAAATATCACAAGCAATATTTTCATTTTGTTACTAAAACTTCGTATAAATTACCATAAAAAGAATGTATACTATTGTTTGTCAACCCTTACATGTCTGCGGGTAGAATAATGCTCCTAAATAATAATAATAATAATAATAATAAAAAAATTGCAGGAAAACACCACTCAGTCGTGTTATATAAAATCAACTATTTGAACAAACGGTGTACAACATTCAAAAGCTCTAGTCTCCTTTACGCTTGTATTTGTACACCATATTAAGTTTTGAATTACAATGAAGGGGGCTTCCATTCCAGACAGGAGGGAAAGGGGGGACTAAAATTATTTCACCTTGGGGGAAGAAGGGACCTAACTTCCATAGAGGGAGGGGAAGATCACCCTGCAACCACCCATATAGAGAGGAAGGGAGGAGGGGAGGTTCACCCGGTCAGCGGGGTAGAGGGACGGAGGGTTGCGGGGGAGGGACGACTATATACACCGCCTCCCCCTCCCTCCCTCATAGTCAGGTCAGGGTGTAGGAATGGCGGGGGAGGGATGCTCTCCTCTCCCGCCCTTGTCCTCTTGGGGTCCTGTGTTGCGGGGGAGGGGGGACTGTTGAGCCCCCACCCCCCTCCCCCGCGCGGCGTTTGCTGTCGGCTACGCTGGGCCCGGGAAAACCCGGGTGCGCTTGCCGAGTGCGACGGCGCAGTTTACCGAGTCATTTCGGCCTCTTTCGCCGAGTCAACCCGGGTTCTTTCCCCGGGATCCTCGGGGTACTTGACCGAGGGAATACGGGATTCAAATTTCCGAGTCAACCCGGCGGCCGTCACCGTGTCTCTACGGTCTTCCGTTTGAGCACGGGAGACTCGGCTCCTTATGCCGGGATTTTCGGCAATTCTCCCCGGGCATTTTTTTCAGTGTACGCCGGAACACGCTTTCTTCGGCTGCGACTCTGTGAAAAATCTCAGAACCAATCTCGAAAAAGAACTAAACAGTACAATTTCCCCTGAAAATATTATGTCCCTCATGCTAGACTCCAAAGAACTCTGGAATAAAGTTCACTCCTATATAACTAAAGTAATTCGCCTTAAAATGAGGCACAGTTCCAACCTCAACACCTCAACACCTCACAGTGTTGCAGCCGGAGAAATATCCCTCAAAGGGGATGATTCCAGCGTTATCCGGGCAGACATGCAGCCGTGAGTTTGGTTTAGTTGGTCGGCTCGATCTCGGTCCCCGATCTCCTTAGCCAGCTTCTGATCAAAGCATTCTACTTAAATTGAGAGCCAAACCAACATATGATAGTTTAACCAACTAGAGGACCATCTGGCCGAAACCTACCCCATGTTGGGGTAGTAGTGCGAAACGGATGNAAAAAAAAAAAAAAAAAAAAAAAAAAAAAAAAAAAAAAAAAAAAAAAAAAAAAAAAAAAAAAAAAAAAAAAAAAAATGAGTATCAGTACAAAATTGAGGGGGGAGAATGTTCAGCTCAGTCAGTATGCATTGGAATATTAAGGTGAGGTAACGTCGAGAGATCTATACTTTGGGGTTTTTTTTTAAACCTCATCGGTGGATCACACTCGTCATGTGAACCCAACTGAACATCTCGCAAAATCGAAGACGGCATCAAAGCTCAAGTTCGAAGTACAAGTTTTGTAATGGATGACGGCAAGTTTCGTACTGGTACTCATTGGACCTCAACATTTTTGACTCTGATTGAAAATTTTTGAACTTTTTGGCTTTTGATCTCACTGACGAGTGTGCTCTACTGACGAGGTCTATAACAAGACCCAAAATTATAGATCTCTCGCCGTGATATCTACTTAATATTTCAATGCTAATTGCCTGAGCTGAACGCTTTTCCCCTTCGGTTATGTACTGCCGTACTGGTTATCCATTACCTAGAGCTCAAAATTGTTGACGCCAATTGAAAATTTTGGAACTTTTTGGCTTTGTTTTCAAAACAGTGTGGACCCAGCACTATTTTGCCACCTTCTTTCACAGTTCGGGTTACGTTTTAAGGGTTTTTTTCTCTTTTTTTCATGATTCTAAGGAAAATGGTCGAAAAAATCACATTTTAAGGGCGGAGCTAATAAACTGCTGTTCACAGGATTACCTAAATTAAGTTTAGGAACTATCGACATATATAAGAAGTAAATTTTACGTTCTTGTCAATGAGCATAACAGTTTTCTTCTCAGATAATCGTGGCTGGAGGTATGAAGCAAAGTTTCTCCTAAAATCAGCAAAAATGCGCATTTTTTAAGCTAATTTTTTAAGAAAACGTTAATTTCACGACCCGAAAAATAAGTTATAAAAAAGAAGTAAATTTTACGTTCTTGTCAATGAGCATAACAGTTTTCTTCTCAGATAATCGTGGCTGGAGGTATGAAGCAAAGTTTCTCCTAAAATCAGCAAAAATGCGCATTTTTTAAGCTAATTTTTTAAGAAAACGTTAATTTCACGACCCGAAAAATAAGTTATAAAAAACAAAGGAGGGTGATTTCGGTAGAAAATTGTAGGCTCTTTCCGCTGGGTCTTTCGTGAGATGAACCATTGAGGAGATATTTGCAAAAATCTAATCGTGGGTTTTCTCAATTTTGAAAAATTCAAAATGGCGGCGCCCTGAGGACCGGCGAATTTTCCTGAAGTTGATACGGTCATTTTCGGGCTTCTTTAGCACCAAAAAATCGAAAAAAAATTGATTTGGTTCGAAGGACAGAACCCTTGTTGACCAATGGACTCGCGGAAATTCGGAACAGGCTGTGACTATTCCACAATTTCATTTGTTCATCCGATTAGACACATTGTATAATGACAGTGGACTCCAAGAACCATTCTAGGAAAATTTGGAGAAAATCCGAGTGGAAAATCTCGAGCAATGTTGCCGAATTTCCCCATCATCCATATGAGTCAAGACGCGCAAATTCGGGTCTGGCTATCACGATATCACGATACGGGTTTCATTCGTAGGGATAAAATATTGCATTGTATATAGATCTTCGAGGCCCCTGACGAGCCAAAGCCGGGGGCCGCCCCCCTGGCCCCTGACGAGCCAAAGCCGGGAGCCGCCCCCCTGGCCCTTGACGAGCCAAAGCCGGGGGCCGTCGCCCTGGCCCCTGGCGAGCCAAAGCAGGGGGCCGCCCCCTGGCCCCTGACGAGCCAAAGCCGGGGGCCGCCCCCCTGGCCCCTTACGAGCCAAAGCCGGGTGCCGCCTCCCTGGCCACTGACGAGCCAAAGCCCCTGATAAATACGACGGAATTTATTGATATTCACCGGGATAAAAGGTAGGAATTTTAAGAAAAGGGGAATAATCAGTGTGAAACGGGGTAGATAAGAATTGAACAGGATAGATAGTAACCACATCAAAACTGTTTGTGTATCCTGTTCAATTCTTATCTACCCCGTTTCACACTGATTATTCCCCTTTTCTTAAGATTCCTACCTTTTATCCCGGTGAAAACAATCAGACAAACAAAACAGGGTAATGTCTATTGATCTTCGATCTTCTTCGATAATAGTTACCGGATCTATGTCAGCAATTCTTTCGTTCACGATAACTATCGTTAGATTTACGTTAGCTGTCTCAAATTAGATTTTCGGTTAAATCGCATTTACCGTTTACTTATAAACGGTAATTAACGTAAGTGCCCTACTTACGCTGTTTTCCACTAAACTGTTTTTATGAAAGCTCCATTCCTTGGTTTCCTTGGTAACCTTTGTTTGCTATCAGCTGATGTTTTCTTTCAATTTCTCGGCCAACGGATTGCATACTTCCTTTTTTCTTTTTTCTTTCATTGCCAGGTTAGTTCTAATTTTTTTGCCAGCATTTATTCTACCCCTCCCCTCCCAGCTCATTTTTCTAACTCCCNTTCTTATGGCATGTCTTACACCCCTACCATCATATTTTGGGGTTTCATTCGTAGGGATAAAATATTGTATTGTATATAGATCTTCGATATATCGTTCGATATAAAGCAGGATAGACAGGGATAAGACGGAATTTATTGATACTCATCGGGATAAAAGGTAGGAATTTTAAGAAAAGGGGAATAATCAGTGTGAAACGGGG